GGCCAACCCTTAACTTAGTGAGAGAGATTTTTTAATCGCTAGGGTGCCGTCGGTGCTGCTTTCAGGATGGGGACTGCATGATCCTCACAGCGTCAAGTTTGAGTGAATCATAAAGAAGCAGGGAGGTGGCCAACCCTTAACTTAGTAGATGAGATTTTTTAATCGCTAGGGTGCCGTCGGTGCTGCTTTCAGGATGGGGACTGCATGATCCTCACAGCGTCAAGTTTGAGACACTGAATCATAAAGCTGCTGATCTATGTCAGTGGCGTTCTTGTTGTCAGTTCCTATCCAGATTGCCTAAAAGAGTGTCTGGAGGTATAGGCATCTCGAAGTGATTGAAGTAGGGTAGAACTAAGTCCCTTCCATGTCCAGCTTCGTGCTATTCTTCATGATAAGACTTTCAAATAAATCGTTGTTGTACGGCAGTGAAGGAGCCGTGTTGAAGACATCTTGAGACGTCTTCAGGTGTCCTATAATCATTGTCTCAGAAGCATTATTCGTTTAGTTTGATATCGGCGAATCCGTATCGAGGCGGTTAGAAAGCGCGTTTTCGGTTGCGCAACCGCTGATTGGTACCAGTAGCGTTCTTGATGTCAGTTTTTATCCAGATTGCCTGAATGAGTGTATGAAGGTCATTTCGCTGTCCAGCTTTATTCTTTTCTTCACAATAAATAAATCATGATTGATTCGGAATGGCCTGTCGCTCTAAATTGCGTCCGAACGGGAAAGGCGAATGTTCCACTATTGGCTTTTGGATACAATATCAAAAAGTGCCGATGTGTCGCAAGTCATTTAGTGGAGTTGAATTCACTGATGAATTCATTTCTGATGGCACGATAAACGACCAACACAAGTACTCGTCAGACCGTAGCATTTGGTTGGGCACACACACATCCAAGGTGAAACTTGGATGTGTAACCGCAAATAGTATCCGGTTTAACCGATTGATGTGTAGATACACATGGGCTTTTGGGAACGTTGAGTTATACAGAGGTGTAAACCTCCATCCATTTTCTAGTACGTGCGTTTTAGTCACACGCAATGCAGATAGAGCGGTTTGTCCACATGAAAATTTGTCATCAGTGGAGCTTGCTGGTGTGCTCAAAGGAACACATTTGTGAACACATTTCGTTTGGCCTAATTTGAAACAGGCTTTGTTTGCCCAACGTATGTAGCCAGTGAACTAGGCTTTGGAACAATAAGAGATTAGTTTATCACACAATCAGATGAAAGTTTATTCAAGATTCTTCCGTGTACTTGCATGCAATTGGCATCGAAAACCATAGTACCAAGTTAAGCAGTGCTTTTTCAACAGTCCACACTTTCACACATGTGCAACAAACAAATTGATGGTAAAGCAAATCAGTCTGTCAGTTTTCAAAACTCTGATTTATTTATCTTCAAGATTTTCTGTCGGACTAGTTGAGCAGCATGTATTCACATCAGTCGTGTTTGGCGCGTCTTCACATCGATGGAATACAAGCAACGCCTTTTTGAATCCACTGAACACATGCATAGAGTTTGGTACGGATGGCGTTCCCGTGATCACAACACAGAATTGTTGGAGCCAAATGAGTTTTTGACTCGACTCCCAAACAGATGTATATGAAGTGCGATCAGTAGCAAACTGTATAAATAATGAGAGTTTCGCCAACCGTCTGGTCCACCGTCAGCACCATGACGAAATCAGATTCATTCAAAGTGGCCTTGATTTGCTTACAGTATGTCGTGCATTCAGGTAAGATAATGCCCCTTTATTGTATTCTCCACTGAGTAAAGCAGATGACATCTTTTGTAATTAGGCTATCGTCAAATTTTCATTGTGAGAAATCTTGGTATTCAGCGGTATTTTCGAGTTGCCATGTGAGACTCGCACGTTCTGTGCTTAGGTGTGCCGTCACCCCTCGGGGGTTGCCCAATGTATAAATTGTGTCATCTGTTTTTCGGCAGCAGAACTGCCTGTAATTCAACGACATTAAAAATAGCCGCACTGTATGAAACGATATATCAAAACGAGACTCTGAATAATGCATTCGTGATATTTGTGTTGACTTTGTCTACATGACAATTCTTCCCCATTTTAAATCGACGCTCACAAACTCTTCTAACGGCAATATGTGGTTTGATGTGAGATTGAACTGAGTTCCGGCTAGTGAGCGAATTTATGATTCCACCTTACAGCTGAATGAGCTGCAAAGCGGGCATCCCATATGTTACTTGGAGCGTCGTTCGAGATTATGTAGTCTGTTATCTTGAAAAACCTACTACTAATTAAGTCTCAGCAAGTAGATAATATTCTGACTGCTCAATCATTGCGGTAGGCAACCGAGCTTTGCAAGCGGGCTTCAAGTACTATGGTGGAATAACGGGGCATAGATAGAATTTGTTTTGTAAATTATATTTGTTCTACATTAGTCGCCTCGAAGGAAACGGGCTGCAGACACAGGCTTGCCCCCCAGAAAGCAGTCTCGACTACGATGCAACGGGTATACGGAGACTTGCCCTGATTTCAGCTAGGAAGGTGTTCAAGCCAATTATGGAAGGGGAATAGAACTCATGCGTCAAACTTGTGGTGCAGTGAAACCTGGTTTAAATTTTTTCAGAATATACATCACTGAGAAGGAACCTGACGAACACATCTTTTGGAGAGGGAAAGTTCCATTGAATAGTACGTAGCAACACAATCTGTTTTTACACAAAAATGAATTTGGAATGAAAAGTTGCGTGAACGATCACTCAAATCCCATCAGTTCGTGGACACCATTCAACACACCATTCATGGCTGAATGTTACAAAAATTTCATTGCTCCATAATTTGATTTGTGATCCACATTCGTATCGTTTACAGAAGCCGCTGGTCCAACTGTGGTGTTCGAACCGGCAAACGGATTCGTTCGCGTAGGAACAGCAGAAACTATCAAGTGTAGTCTACAAGCAGATCCACCAAAACCACAAGGGACATTCGGACTGGTAGACCTCAAGACCACCACTGACCTGATCTTGCTCGACAACGTGACTGCTACAATCAAGCCGCCCACGGATCCTGGAACTTATGCACATGTGGGGAGCACGACAGTCGAGTGCATATTTACAAAGACTGATGACGGATCAACGGTGAAGGGGACCATCACTGTTCGCGTCTTGCGTGAGTTTCTGGTCAATTGTTCACTGGTTCTGCTTAGTATGATATGAGCCACCCATGTGTGGAGTAATTCGTGATAATTCAAATGTTCGTATTATTAGCGGCGAAATTGGAGGGAACGCTGGACGGTGGCGCGAGTGGGAACCCGGTATTACAAGTCGGTGATACGAAAGAACTACAATGCGATTTGCTTCCAGCCGGCACTGCTGATAAATTGGCGGGCACATGGAAGGCGACTCTGGATGAGGCTGGGAAGACGTGTGCTGCGGTGACAGTTGCAGAACAAAAGGCGAACATCAAGCCGATAAAAGCGGGGGGCTACACGGAGCCATGCTCGTTCAACGTCACTTGTGTGTTTTCCGCAACAGAGGGCGAGCAGATATACACATTCACTCAAAGGGTTGATGTCGTGGGTAAGTTTCGTTCGCTGTCGATTTCAAATTACGTTTATTCGACTTTTTCTCAATGCATCCACTTCAACAATGTATCGCTTTCTGTTCGGAATAAGTGTTTACCTACTCTGTGTACAACTATGCCACCAGTGAACTCGCGGGATTTCGGAGAGATGCAGTCTATCTAGTCTCATTAGAGTTTACTGTAACAGAGAAAACTCTACTTAGTTAAAAGCCACATTCGCCGACCCGTTTTCGGGATGAATACGCAGTTGACGGTGAGCACGGTACCGGCGAGCCACCGTCCATCAAACTAACTTTTTCCTGCCGTTTTAACCGACTCTTACCGCTTCCGCCCACAAGAACCTACGCCTTTTAATGACGTGTTTAATCAATGCGTGTTCGCAGCAAGCATAGGTGCGGTTTTCCCCACACTATTTGAAAACTGCATGCTCGCCAGCATGTAGAGTTACTTGGTGCAAAATACACGATTGGTCTTTTTGGTTTACACGAGGTCATTCTCTACAATTTGCTTCTTTGCGCGCCAAACATTACAGTCGTCTACTGTCTTGATGGAACGGACATAGCTGGTCGCTGATGTGCTCGAAGTTGACGTCGGTATTACCGTATCCATCATGCGTCATACAAAATTGGAAGTTATTTCTTCTGAATCATTGCATGCTTTATCCCAAAGCAAATCAACCGTTTGAGATTCATCTGTGGGAATACTTGGTCATTCCGTCGTCGAGCCGGTGAGAGTGAATGGCAGATTTCTCTGTTGGTACGCGAAATTTGATCTACGTTGTTCCCATGAATGCACCAGCCAACAGTTCCCGATCACGGGCTGAAGCAAAAAACCTCTAAACACACAAGTCAGTAATTACTCATTTTACACCAGTAGTGGTGATGTTGGAGTGTGTCTGAATGTGAATCCTTCATTCCCGTTACTTTCCAAGATGGGTGACGTTTCGGTCTGAAGTGTTCCCATTAAAATAAATGTTAAGCTTCTAATTTTGGAAAGGCTCTTTTGAATTGATGAACTGCCACTGCATATGGACACATTCGTAGCGCTTCACCGATATTGTGGACACGAAACGCAACGGTACGATGAGGTGATGCGGACACACAACTCCACCGCCCGCTCAGAGTCATGTTGGCGAGGTGCCTTTAACTGACCACCGAGGAGCTGGTGAACCTCAGTGAACCTAGGCAAAGAGTTATCGTTTAGATTTAATGTTTCGCTTGGGGAAAAGGGGCTGATGAGTGCAGATTTCAACAATTCGAAAGCCCACTGTCACTGATGACGAAATATATCTATTCAATATTTATTAGTTTAATAGAACAATGTTTGATGCCCTTGTGATACGGTTGTTTGGAATTAACCGGACAGGAGAGATTGATAAACGTTAAGTTGTATATGACACTGTTGTCTCTTCTTTCGCTCATTTATCGATCCGGAGTGTGGTGTCATATGAATTCTGCAAGATGCTTGTCGACATTTTTATCACCACTCTCCTACTGTAATACCCCGATTGTTCTGAATTTGTTTTGATGAGTGTTCCCGTACGGTGTAATTCCCAAAACGTTTTTTCGTCAATATGGTGCACGTTGAAAAATTGGGATATATACTCATTTTTGATGGTCATTTGCCCTTCCTTTCGGTCTACGTATCGTGTAAGTGATTGACCCCTTGTGATTAGGCCTTCCTCATCCCCGCAACCCATCATCTCCTTTGACTTCCACGTGACGGTTCCTTATCGCGTGGGGGACAGTTCTGTCCTAGGTTATAATCGTAACTTAACGAACACCTTACTTAATTCTGACGATTTTTTCAAAAGTTAACGTGTGGGTTTCCACTTCCGTCCATTTCTTGAAAATTTCTGTTCACCCAGCTGGAACAACCGATGCAGGTAAATGTGTGTGACTGCTTGCTCCATAACTTGATCAGATTTCGCCCGTTTAACTACCTCAACATCTTCAGTGCTTAATTAGCCTCTTTTGTGAGAATACTTATCCTACCACTTGCATTCTTTTAAGAACATGTTGCCAGTTGAACTATGCCATTTAACAGCGAATACAACTGGAGGGTTCGCGAACTATACCATTTTGAGGGTCCGAATGGATCTCTTTGTGTTCTCTCATTCGTGATATTTCTGAGCTGAATGAGCCACACAAGATCCTCATCCTGCTTTATTCACAAACACGAATGCTATTCAAGTGTACCAATAGGCTGACGAGCAACACTCACATTTGAATAGTCTCAAGAGGGTTGCAGCCTTTGGTCGAGTGTGGAAAAGTCGTCGAGGTTGTGCTCGAAAAGCGCTGCGAGGTGTTACTGTTTTTATGTCGTCGACGTTCGGATCTAACAAGTACACGCAACAGGCTAGACACTTCCCAGTTTATTCCCGCCTTGCAACTTATATAAATAAATTACACACTGCAGAGGCCTCCTCTGTTTAAATGTGTCAGTAAGTCGCCTGCTAATTGACACCATGTGACAGGCTCGAGAAGCAAAGGTGCAGTTTGAAGTTGTTTAAAGCGCCTGTGGTTCCGCCTTTTTCCGATGATAGTACCTATCGATTATAGGTACGGGTCTCCGGGAAGATATTGGTGGAATAAAATAGAGTTCTTTTCATCCAGCTACTCTTCTCGATTTGTTTGCCTAACCAGATGGCGTGGAACCCAGCTAATGAGGCTTTGAGCACCAATCGGAAGGGCGACTGGCTGGGTGTTTCATCTATTTCACTCAGTTGAACGTCTTTTGTATGCGTTGCGCGCACAACCGGCAGGACATTGTACTACTGTCGCCAAGTTAACATCGTGAAAAATATCTAGGGTCGTATATGCGAAGGCATTCCATCAGATGATTGCACCTATGATTCAGGTTACTTGACTTGTTGCACTTGTGTGATTGATCCAAACATTCATGTCAGACATAAACAACAAATGAATATTCACTTTTTATGTTCATCTGTCACCTCGGCTTGACGGGAAACTGGTGATGTGCGCGTCACAACTTCGTAGACAATTGTCTGTACAAGGGCTTGTTTGTGTGATTCAACGCGCGATTACTCCCAAAAAATTTTCAACTTATACTGTCATGTTTTTTGGCTTCACAGGGGTTAAAATTTGGCCGTCAGTTGCTCGGTGGATAACTGCCATGGGTACCCTCATCTTGGGTCTTCGAGGCACGCAGTGCTAATGTTCTTTGCATAGGTAAATTTGTAAAACTCACGTGTTTAAATCGGGCCTGTTTGACACGGTGCTCTCAAGAGACGAGTGGCTCCATTTGCCTGTTTGTCATCACGAACCTGCCCATACATTCTCATTGGTCTGAACAATTGCTTTATATGTCTACCCGTTTTTAGTTTTCACTCCTGGACTGTGTGCCCACCCGTCCGTTCATCTGAGCCTTGTACTTTTCTACCCCTACCTGCATTTTATTGGAGTCACATTTGAGGTTCGACTTTAGTTTTATCCGCTTCGCTGTATTTGGCACCGTGCTAAATTGTACTCACCTAGTTCCTTCAAGCTGAGTCACTATATCAGCTTTGTTCAACGTCTGGTGCTATTCTTTGTCAAGGTCTAACTAATATAAACGGAAATAAAGCCATATTTTCTTTCTTGAAAATGCCGCTGCATCCTCTGATCTCGCGCAGAGATGAAGATGAGCAGTGAATGAAATTCTAGCTTGTTTCAACCTCCCACTCATTCTCACACACGTAACATTCTGGTGCGCCTCTGTTTGGTAAGGCGGTTCACACTAACGATTCGTTGTCGCTTAGCTATGGGGTACACGCGCTCCACATTATGCCGCGAGTTTAGACCTACTTATCTCCCATTTACCCCTGACAATGTAACGGTCATACTACTGATGGGGGAGGCATACGAGTAGTATGCTGTCTTGTAAATCCGCTTTGCGTCTCTTGAAAAGTGAGGTCTGTTGCGGAGTTTGTGGAGTCTGTTTGTAGTATTTGCTTGGATTTGAGCAACAGTCAGGTGCGTTGAAATAGACGCGTTCAAAGAAAAGATGGATATTCAGTTTTCGTTTTGCTTCCCTTTCCAATAGTTTGTAACTGTTCAGTTGGTATGTTCTAACAAATAACTCCACGGCGAAGGCTTTCTTTTACTAACCAACCGAGTTAACTTCATCTCGATTCCCCCTAAACGAACGTCCAGTTAACCCTACTTCCGATACCGCCACTGCTCTTCCGCAACATCCTTTGATGCCAAACCTCGCTAAAGGCGGTTTTTACAACTTCCTGTGTAAGGCCTTTAGAGGGCGTAGACATAAAAATGCAACATGACTCTAGTGGAAATGCTCCAAATGTACTCTTATTTCCAGTCGTCTCATTAATGTTTTACAACTCAGCAATTCTGGGGGACGAGAATATAGGAACGCAACCTTATGCTACTTTTGGCAGCCAAGTAGCTGGAGAATTATATTCACAAGTAAGAAATTCAGGTATCACGATATCAGCAAACTAGGAAAACTAGCTTGAATCCTCCTTTACTTTGACGACTCCGTTTTTCAGGCAACATTCGTAACACTTTTGAAACATAACAAGGTAGAGTGGATTCAACTATTTCGTTCATTTCGGGTTTTTGAGGGGTAGGTATTTTGTTCATAGCCACACCCTCTCGTTCGAGAGGTCGTGTTCCTGTTCTGGCGTATTATTCCGGTGAAGCGATGGACTTGAATTGTCGCCTCTATTAGAGCTCACCAGCAGTGCATATCCGATGGCCGTGCCGGGATTCGAATCCCGAACATTTGACATGTGAAGCGAGCGCGTAACCACTACTTCACCGACACACGTTAGACGCATCTGAATTATCACATCTGAACAGGCGAACGTGTTCACGCATGACCGATGTGATTGGTGTGCCCGTCTGGTCGAACGACGACCCAGTAACTGTCCTGGTTGTGAAGATCGATTGACCAAACGACCCAGTAGCTTGACACACGCTTGAAACCCACTGGGCAGATTTTTGGTTGCAATTTTGGGGTTTTGCGGGATAGGTATTTTTGCTCATATCTTGCCAGGTGTTTACATATATTGAAAATCAGGTCTAAGACAGGACAACAGAGACACAAACACACCGACTAGTGAAAGCCGTTACAGCGAGCAATGGTTTGCTGGTAATGGCTTTCACATTTCGCTGCCAAGTCATTGTTTGGCCGCCTTTGGCTCTCCTCCACCCTTCACGTGGTTGTGCGAAAAGAGCCCTTCGAGGAAGTCGGTCGACTGGCATACGCAGCACGTGACCAAGCCAGCGCAACCTATGCAGTGTGATCAGTTCATCTATCGAGGGTGAGTTATTTCTCCCGAATACCATTCGACGTACTTCAGAATTGCTGATCCGGTGTCCCACCAGATTCGGGCAATGCTCCGAAGACGTTTTGCATAGCACACATAGAAGTAAACGACAGTTACAAAGCAATTCAATGTCTTACTCCACCACATCTTTGGGAAGCTCTCAAGCGTCATTGATACATCGCACAGACTCCAAAAGTTGCTACTTTATACTTTGAATTACAAATCGAACCTACTTGAGCGCGAAAACACCAGTCGCTGGAGAGCGATGGCCGCATACCATAACTCACTACGGAAAAAATTAGGCTTCTAGTTGTGACATGAAGGCGAAAACCAGAAAAATACAGACTCCTCATGTTGCGGAGTTATACGATATGCTCACTAGTTCACAGAGAGTGGGGAACCCGGCGAATGGCTTACTCTGGAAGAAGTCAATGGATATGACTGAAAAAAAACTACGTCGACGCTTGAGTATTCGTTCAAATTCCACTTCGACAAGACTCTGCACTCATGGTCGTAAGGGATCATTAATGTGTACATCCGGTAAGCTCCAGTAAGTTGAGGAGCTTCTAGGACTGATCATCTGAAAGCTTAGTTTCCTTGTTCAACATGTACTTCACATCCGAGTTTTGCCCTGTCTGAAATTTATACACATAAGTATTTGTCAGAGTTAAATTCCTGAATACAAACATAGTGTTGATACGCGGTTTTTGAGCTATCAAGTTTCTTAACAGGACAACCAAGAGCGGCGGAAAAGTCAGAAAAATAATAAGAGTTAGCGGTCCGTGTGTGCTTCACACGAGTGAAACGGAACACTGCCGACATTACATAATTCCGTGAGACCTTCCACCAAATCTGTCGAAAAACTGGCCCAGAGGGAAAGCTCCGACCCTCGGTGAATCACTGTTTCTGGAGCGTGTTTGGATCTAAGCTAATGAGGATATTTTGGGAGCTTCGTTTCGTCTGAAGGCAACAGTAAACCGGGGTATCACTTAGGGCGCTGCTCTAGATGATCGCACGAATCACCAGAAGTTGTATCCAATGACGAAAAATTCTTGGTAATCAATCGAAGAAAGCCTCTACTCGGTTGTTTTTCGTCCTACCCATTAAGTGACTAACTTTCCGATTCCATCGGCGCATGCTGGCACACCTTGAACAAGAACACAGCGCTGGTACGTAGGTACTTCAGAATAAGTTCACTCCACAGCATACCTCGATAGTGGTGCCATGATTGCACCTGCGTTCTCGCCAAATTGGCTTTCTAAAGGACTTATAGCCTGAGCTTCAGAGCGAAATGTCCCCGTCACTGGTGTCCTTCGTCTAACCCGTTGCAACACAAAAGTTTCCAAATAAGGCTATGTCGTCGTATCGTCATTCCCATGCACGGGAGCATGTGACGAATGCGGATGGATTTGCCACATGACCCGCAGCCTGCTGCTGTTACAGAGTAACTACTCAGTAGTAACATACTGCATCCGAATGGCAGCGGCGGTTGAAGGACCATAGACACCACCATGGGGAAAAAGAATACTCGGTGCTTCGTGGAGGATCGCACGCCAAGAGAAACGTTGCTTTGAACATGGGGGTCTACTCGGAAAACCTCTCTATCGGAGCATTACTGTTCGAATGAAGCGCCTGCTGACTGTAACGTTAGTCTCACAGCACAAACAGAGCACAATACACTCGTGTGAAAAAACTGTCTAGACTGTGTTCAAGTTACCGTGTGGATCACATAAATGTGTTGTGGCGTGTCACCAGACTACTTATGCTTCTCATGACCCGGCATATCGCACGAGGCGACCACTTATCAAAGGGTACACGTATTTTCTTTGATGAAGACAAACCCGCATCTAAGAACTTGGTGTAGTGTTTGGCTCCGTGATGACGGCATGACAGCAGACGCCGCAACAAAAAAGTGGGCACTGGAAACTTCCTCAAGTAGTGACCCATCCTTGGAAAAAAACTTGAAGAGTTTGATATATTGACCACAAAACAACAGATCGGGACAAATCAGTGCTGAGAAACAAAATGGGATACAGGAAGAATAACTCAACTTAGCAAGGATTTAACAACCATAGTTGTTTGTATGACTCTGTTGGGAGAAGGGTGAGGAGGAAACGCAGACAGAACGTAAAGTAGTTGTCAGGTGGAGAGAAATCGCCGTAGACAAGTTAACAAATGGAGTACCCGAAAGGAGAGAGAGAGAGAGAGAGAGAGAGAGAAACACCGAGTATAACGGATAATCAGTTAGGACTACAAGGCTTGGTGACAGAGCCAATCACAGGAAAAATAGATTGAGAAAGAAATGCATAGTTCAAACAAAGCGATTCTAGTTGCTCGAAGCAATACCACCTGCGTTAGCCTCCGATGGAGAATGAGCAGCGTACCAACTGGAGATATCCGATTCGAATAAAACCTTCTTTGGTAAAATGTTTAATCTGGAAGGAAAAAAGGAATGGTGATTATTGGCAAACATCTAAAATTGAATGAACCGACGGTCGCAGGGAATACTAACCGAGAGAGCACGCCTCGAAATCGATGGTGACGTCTGACAAACAGAAAAGGGGACTTATATATCATATAAATCGCCTCGGTTGTAAGCGCAAACAAGCGATAAAAGGACCTTTGGCTGGCGTCCACTGGGTAGGATCATCGAATGGTTCTAGTCCGGCAGTGCGCGGCGTCACCACACCTAAGACACCGAACCACGATTATAGAATTCCGTTCAGCAATATTGTCACAAGAGAAACAAAATAACGGTACCCTAGGTCTAGATTATCGATAGCGCGTGAGGACGTCATCCTCGCCCTTCATCACAGCACTCCATGGGGTGAACTTCCTGCGGGTCACCCAGTACCCACTACTCACAGGTGTCAGTAATTTGCGGTGTTCTGGTAGTTATTTGTTGCCCGCTAGAAAGTTCCGATTTCAAACGTGTGGATGTGAAAGTTAAAGTGATCCACCAAAATAAGCATTCCGGCGCCCGGTTAACACGGAGGTAACGCACCGCGTCACTGCGGCGCGACCTCGCAGTTAGTAAGCTCCCTCGGTATGGTAGTCACCACGCAAAAGAATGAATGAAAACCAACTTGCTGACCGAGAAAGGTACTACGGGAAAACACGCAAGCCGAAAAAGGTAAGTTACCCAACAAATGCGGATAAGCAAAGTAACCGGAGATAGGCTGAACCACAGAAAAAAACTAGTGGGTTAAACAAGGTGACAGGGAACTTGATTTCCACTTGTGATTTAAAACGTTAAACAGTCCGTTTCAGAAGGGTTCGGTAAACAATCCGACGGGTTTTTTATTTGGCAACGTTTCGCTTTTGACACAAAAGCTTCGTCAGACCAAGTGAGCAGGTCACCGAATAGGCCAGGCAGACGGGGCACCAATCATATTAGAGAACCAGATCAGTGTTCAGAGTCAATTACCGGCTCTTATCGGTTAGTGTGGTTGCCAAAACCTTGCGTTGATGGGTTGGTGGAGTTTCAAGTTAGTTCCGATCGAGTTTAGTTCCTCAATCTTCCACTTCACTTTGCTTCGATTAATGATTCACTGCGAGTGTCACTGGTAAATGTCGTCGGTCTTCGTGGGCTTGTGAGTGCTATGGTAATTTCGTTGAGGGAGGGAAAGTGGGTGAGGTTAAGTGCGATAGGGTAATGACCACTCCTACTTCTGATAACCGCACAGCAACACGTTTCAGCTCGATTGATCCAAAACTGTTCTCCACACGCATGGCAGTTCCACGCAGTCTATTCTGTTGACACTGGGATGCTTGGGGTTTTCTACCGCTTCGGCCATCAGTCTGTGTGGCGTGGGCCGTAGTCCCCGCCTCAAAACCTCACCATTTTCTAAATCTATTTTGTCTTCTGTGTTCGGTGTATGTTCCACAGTGTCGAGTCTTTCAGTAACGTACGATATTCATCTGAGTTTCTCGGCGGACTGTTCATTTTCCCCCTATGCTCTCCGATTCTGATGCGAAGTCCCCTGGCCGTTTGTCCCGTATAGACCTTAGTGCAGTCGTTACACTCAATTTTGCAGACACAGTCCCTGGTTCTGTTCACCGAGAAGTGATCGTTCAATCGCACCGGGGCAGAATGTCGAGTTTCCCTTTTGGAAAGCTAACCTCATGTTAGTCGTGTTTAGAATCCTTCGAGTGACTTCTGATGTCCCCGTTTTATATGAGATAACAGCAGTCCCAAACGAATCCCTGTTGGATTTCGCTACCTGTACAGAAAGAGAATTAGTCATCACCCGAACTGCACTTAATGTAGGTTGATTGCAGCAATCTGTTGGACCACGCCGAGTTACGTGCAAAACCCCAAAAGTCAAACTTTTCAAATAGAGGTTTATCTGCAAATGCGATAGTATAAGTACAATAATAAAATGATAAAACTTTACAAACCTCAAATCGTGGGACTACGTCGGTTTAGGAACTGCTAATTACCAACGGGTCTCAAAGTCCATACCAACTCAAAGCCACTTGTGAACTTAAACAACACGTCCGATGACAAGGTCAAAGAACGGTTTACGTTCAGGTCAAAAACAAGAAGGGTGGTATAGGCACAGAACAAAATAACACAATGGGGGGAATCGCGTCGTACAACATAAAGATAGAAGAAAGGAACCAACAATTAAGCTCACCGACGTTTCTCCCCCAAAAGAAACTATCGCAACACTAGCGGTGAATCATCAATCGAAACAAATCGAGGTGGAAGATTAAGGAACCAAACTCGATCGGAACTAATTTGAAACTCCACCAACCCATCAACGCAAGATTTTGGCAACCATACCAACCGACAAGAGTCGTTAATTGACACTCAACACGGATCTAGTGTGATAATCTGAATGGGACTTACTGATTAGCTCTCCTTCTGCCTTAAAACATGATAAACTTGATGACCTGTTCGCTTGGCCTGATAAAGCTTTTGTGTCAAAGGTGAAACGTTGCAAAATAAGAAACCTACCGATTGTTTACCAAGACCTTCTGCAACGATGACTTCTCAATCAATTACAAACTTTCTCCAATTGACTGAATCATTTCAACCTTGAACATAGTCAAACTCTACCAGAAGCTCGTACTTTATCCCCAAAACTTACCGGAAATGCATGTGGACAGTCAACCAATGGTATACATGTACGGGTGAGTTGAGCACTTATGTGGGTCACTATGCGGCTATTCTGTATTGTCGCGGTGGGCAACGGCCATTGATGTGTACCAAGGTCATGTGTATACGTATTCCAATAGATCACTTCAACCCAGATCACCGCGCACTTCACATTGTACCGTCGTGTGACCGCACAATACGTCGTGAAACCAAACTGAGCTACCAACGATATCGAGCAAGACACTCGAAGTCCGCGAACCTCCGAGAAACGATAGTGGATCGTACAGCGAGGGGGGGACGAGATGGCCCAAGTGGTTAGAGCACGAGTTTACTGACCTGAAGTTCCGTGGTTCGAACCCAGCCTCTGTCTTTCGACTTCCTCGGTCTAGGCTTGGACAACCTGGCAGTGTCCCAGTCCTCGTGCAACCTTCGGGTGGCATGGCAGCTAGGCACCGAAAGGGTGTTACAGCTGAACGGTTACAGCGAGTGTGATGAACCAAGATGAGGACGATGTTACTGTGTGTTCAGTGTATGTTCATCTAGTCAAATTTCCGCTGTCAGTTGAGTTTCATGACGCGTCCCAGCCTACATGCCGCACCGAATCCACCATCACAATCTGGTTTTGAGTGTAACACGGCAGGCTAGGTGCAACTGCCTGATACCAGCTAGTCGTGTCGAACAGACAGATAAGACGGTCCGCTGTTAGTTCAACGAGGAAGTTTTGTTCTGTTTATAACGCTGGGCCTACATATATCACGAAATCAAAGGCATTTCTCGGGCGACAGAAAATTGGAACTGAGAATCAATATATACGCGTAAACAAGCGTTGAACACA